TGGTTCAGATGCATGTCTAATGAGTAAAGGCAGGTAGATTAGACTAGTTCCAAGCAGCAGTCAGTGGTGAACTCCTCCGTGGACATCACGGGGCTTGGACTACAATTACAACAACGTAGAGAGATTCCAGTTTCCCTCGTTACTGCAAATCAGTGGCACTGAATACGTATAGCTGAGTACTGTTTATCGTACATTATGAATGGAAAGCATGCCTACAAATATAGGTATTGTACCTAAGAGACACCAGAGCTCTAACACTGTGTAAAACTCTGAACAACAATGGCAAAGTCAAAGAATCTTTTATTTGAGCACCATTTTAAAAAATCTTAGCAAGCACAACACGTTGAAATATTTTCCCACGGGCTCAGTATACTCGTGTTAGAGATCAACATGAAACTGATTTCGAATGTTGGACAGAAATAAATAAAACAGTCTCCCTCCTAGGCAAATACTGTAGGTTTTACGACACACCAACCCCCTTCCTCCAACTTATTCTTGCAGTACTCACAAGCCTGCAGAGATCCCCAGCTCGCTGTCTGGGATCTGGGAATGGAGGGGAGATATTGTTCCCATGAGCCAGTGCCGAGCCCTGGGAACACACCTGGGGTTCTGATACAGTTTAGTTTACATTGTCGTGCTCCACTGTGATAGGAAGCAACTTAGAAAAGCAGCTCCCTATCTCTCCCTCTCTCTCACATTGAAAACCCAGCCGCCTGGGCCTCCCCGCTGCTAAATCTGACCTCCACTATAAGCAAAATCAACCATCCCAGACTGATCAACAAGTGCAGCCCAGATAACAGAGCAGAGCGCTGCCTGGGTAGGGCCTCCCAGCACTGACTGTTCTCAGGGAAAGGGAGATCACTGTAAGTTATTCATTAAGAAAGAGGAGGATGTGAATAATTCATTTTTATTTCAAACACCAGTTCCTTGCTCTTATCAAAATGCAGTGTTTGTCCTGGATGCCATCTTCCATCATTTAAAACCTTCCAAGTCACAATGCCAGGCATCAAAAGAGATGCAAGATGATGTGCAGAATGTAGATTAGCATTCCGATTAGATTAATGCATGTCCGAGTGCATGCATTGTCGTCCATAACACAAAACATTACAAGAAAACACACGTGTTTACAAACACGTGTGTTTGTGTTTACAAAAGGTACTTTTGTAAACACACTGTTGTACTGTATGATGCTATATATAATAAAGTAAAACAATGATATCACAGATGTTTTATGCAGACCACATTATTTCTCATATGGGCATGACAGTGTATTTCACTTGTCAGTGCCAATAAGAATCCTACAAATCTTGGTCCAATGAATCTAGTACCCTATTAAATTAAAAATAAAGTAATAAAGTAACCGATGAAGTATCCAGGTCAATCTTATCTCTTATCACTTCATGCAAAACTGAGATACAGACAACTCCCAGTGCAGCATAGCGTGTCAAGAAATCACCCTTTCAGAAAGCCTCCTCACCCACACGACTGTGACACAGTGGCCCCGAGTTTCAGTGCGCACGGCTGACCTGTGATGCCGAGAACAGGATTTATTAACTAAGCCCCGCTCCAAATAAAAAGAGTTTGTTTAATTTAAAATCTGTTCAGTAAAATCTGTTCAATAAGCACGTTCCTTTTTTAACTTCCATTCAATGTAGCTATTATTAGAAAAGTCCAATTGTGATACTTTGCACTAAAATGGTTGTTTAGACCTTCTTCACAATGTGATGATACTCTGTGTTAGTTCTCTCTTCTACTCATCGGGCACATAAAGGGCCAAAATGCGTTGGTGTTTTCCCACGAATATCTTTTGCATTGTCATGTAAAGTCTTCTATTAACTCTGCTTTGAGATCAAGAGTGAATGGTTGTGGGAGTCTGGAACGAGAACCGCCTATGATACTAAACTAATAACACGGGGACCATTAAGATACCACTGGATGAGATCCAAAGATCAATTAGCTACTGACAACGTAACGATCCAGATGGGAAGAAAAAGCCCTCATCTCATTCGAAGTTCTTGTGTTCTCATTCCAAAAGTGTGTTGCCTTCAGTTTTCACACACTGTGCCCATGATATAACACCCACAAGCCTGAAAGGGTCTTGGATGAGTCAAGTGGCATATTTTGCTGACTTCCAAGCGGCTGAGATTGGACTCCCAGGTGGTATGGCCACAGGCGAACGAGGGGAGAAACGGAGAGTGTCAGAGAGCCGGCTGACAGCTGTCTGAGCTGTGATCCCCACTCTCAGACCAGTCTGAAGGGAGCTCCTCAGAATCACATAGGCCTCATGTCTGCAGGGCAGGTATTTCACTGCGAACTGAAAACAGTCAGCATGGGTGGCCACATTTCTTCCAACTTCATTTCATGAAAAAAGAATACTGTGGTGTTGAGTGTACAGATTGAGGTGGGATATTATTAGTAAATGCGGACGGTTTTTTAAGAGCAAAAGGCCAGAAGTATTTTGAGACAACTACAGTATTTCCGATAAATAGCTACTTTTGTGTTGTCTAATTAGGGTTGACCTGCGCCAGTCGTTTTGGGTTTTATTTGCACAGTTTCCCAGTTTCTATTTAATCCGCCATTCAGTGGCTCCCAATACTGTTCAACATTATCAGAACGCCTTAAAGTGAAATTAAGAGGTGGACAAAAGCCTTTCCAAAATTCCAAGACTTCTGAAAGTGCATATAGAGATATGCGAGCCTGAAAGACTGAAACAATAATTTAGAATGAATAATAATAATAATAATTGCTCACACTTATATAGCGCTTTTTCTGGACACTCCACTCAAAGCGCTTTACAGGTAATGGGGATTTGGCCAGGACCCTGGGGTGACACTCCTACTCTTTTCAAGGAACGCCCTGGGATTTTTAATGACCACAGAGAGTCAGGACCTTGGTTTTACGTCTCATCCGAAATCCACAACATGTACAGGGTTTTCATTTTTAGGTATTGCAAATAACGGCCGTCTCCAGCCCTCCCTTCAGCTTTCTTCCATGCTCAAAGCCCACCTGCCTTGCTACCATGGCGGGGCGAACGCTCACGAAGACTAAAGGGAAAGCAAGACGAGCTCAGTGGTGTGAGACTGCGAGGTGTACAGAGGTGCCTTCCTACCCCAGGCGAAGCACATGCTCCCCGGACACGACGTGGGGAGCTCGGGATCCGCGAGAGGCCTCTGCGGCACGTCCAGGCCTCAGTGACGGGTGAGGACTGGCCCAGAGAAGGAGCCTGTCCCCCGAGGCCGAGATTCCCCGCCTGCCCCGGTATTGTTCTGAGGTGACATGTTTTCATGCTGGCGTTGACAAGGGGGCAGATCGCATTTCCCCGCCCCAGGGTGGAGACAGCTGACCTACAGGGACACGAGAGGAGGAGGGCCACCCGAGACCGAGGCAGACCCTGCATTACGGCACTGAGGAGATACCCTGGCAAGACCACGGACCTCGCCCACACCACTCCTGTGTACTGAAAATAAAACCACGAGAAAGATCATGCTGTTGGCAAACAGCGTAATCCTTTCAAAAGGGCCAAAATGCAAACTGCAGGATATAAAGATCCAGAGACCTATTTTGTACCGTATGTGACCCTTTTGAACATCGTAATGTCCTGTAGGATGAAAACATCCACCAACAGAGAATGGCTCAAATTAAGAAGCAGAGAAGTTGTCCAGATATTTACAACTTATAACCAACAAGGTGCAGGCTTGAAACAATAACATCTTTGGCAGATTTCAAGCTAGAACACACCTTAATGCACTTGGTCCTTTGCAACTGGTAGCCCCTGCTCTAAGAGCTACTTAATAAAAGAGAGTTCATGCACTCTACTTTGAAACAAGTGCCAAACAGAATCTGCAAGTTGTTCTGTCCATAATGTGAGAAGTACAATGGGCGCACAGAGAGTTCAAAATCCTGCTGCCACCAGAGGATAGATTGTACCAACCCCCCCTGACCTCAGCACTGATGTCAATGTGCCATACATCATCCGGACAGACCTGGCATATCCTCCTCGCAGCTTCTACACACAGAGGGTGCTCTCCACCCTGAGGGAATTGTTATGACTAGAGAGCAATGCTATCAGGGAGAGCAAGAGCTGGCTTGAACAGCAGTGATTCAGCTCCGAGCAGAAATGAAGTAGGTTCTGTTAAAATGTGTAGCCTGGAGACACCCCTTCATACAGTGTAACACGTGTGCCTCTTTGCGATGGCTTTTGTGCGGTAAACATTATGCATAATCAAAGAGATCAGCAATTAGGCCAGAGAATGCTGCTCTCATACCACCCCCAAGACAAACTAATTCTATTTCAAATTAAAGATAAAGACAGAGGGTGTGAAGTGTAGTTTCGTAGGTATACAGGAATGCCTCAGGATTACCTTATATTACACAATGTCTCCCGTCTGAACGTCTCTTGTTGAAGTGTTGGAAAAAACTTAAACTAGGCGCCAGGAAGCGTCCAAGTCTCCATTCACTCCATAATTGCATTAACAAAACTCGCTAACAATTTAACAACTTTACATTGCATGGATGTTTGCTCATGCCTTTACTCATCTCGAGATGAACGGATTTGTGATGTCCTATTCAGCTCACCCCTGATTTCTGATGTCATTCAATCTATGCAAAACATGAAAGGACATTGACTTCTGCCAATATTTAGCCCCGTGGAAATGCAACCAACGCTCCTAGGATGGTGTTCAGGAAAGCCTAGATGTCAATTACTGTAGCCGAACTAATTTCTGCATTGGGTTAATCATTCAATGTCAAAGGAGTCTTCAGGCACTATTTCAAGCCCAGACACTTAGAAAGCCTTAAGGTTTTGGCTTCTTTCTGGATAAGGGGCTGGAGGTTTCTGGTTTTGAGCATAACTAATGCTGACCATCTTTCAACAAGACAGTCTTGCTAAAAAGACCTACCGGAGTAGCAATATAGGCCAAAGAGAACTCCATCAGCTCCTGACCCCAGTGTGGATCAGCTAATATCCATCCAAACAGTGTGCATGAGTTTCTGCCACTTACATTTCTCCCCAACGCTCCAACGTCTTTCAACCCCTAGCTTTTGAGGCCAGAACCTCTGCACCTGAAAAATAACAAAATAAAATAAAAATTCTGTACAAAGACCCTACAAAGAATATCAATGATTCAATTAATGGATCAATGTGTAGAAACCCTTTGTACAGAATTACATTTTGAATGCTTCGCATGTCCTTCTTTTAGATGACATGGTGGTGCAGTGGTCAGCTTTGCTATCTCGCAGTGCTGGGGATCTACGCCTGGGGCTCTATCCGCATGGAGTTTGCATGTTCTCCCTGTGTTCATGTGGGTTTCCTCTCACAATCCAAAGAAATGCTGGCAGGTTAATTGGCTTCTGGAAAAAAAAAACAGCCCTGGTGTGAATGCGTGCACGTCTGTCTGTGTGTGCCCTGCGATGGACAGACATCCTGCCTTGTGCAGAAATGCTTTCTGGAATAGGCTTTGGGCCACAGTGATGCTGAATTACAAGAGTGGTTTTTGGAAGTGATGTGTCATGTGTTTCAGTCTTTCACGATGTAGACTGATTAAAAATCACCACTGGATATAACAGCAGACAAGCTTAAATTCTAAAATTAGAATGTATGTTTTTTTTGTTCCCAATGAACTACATTCATAGGGTAAACTAACACCTTGCATTCAAATAAAATGGGTCACGCTTAAGAACAGTACTTCTCACTAAGAATATCGGGATTTACTTGGTGGATGCACAGCATTTGCTTATAGCCACAGGCTTGATGTTATTTTTGGAAGCTTGGCAGCCGAACGGCCAGTCTTTCTGATCTTTCTTCTGCTTTTAATCGCAGGTCACCGTTTCAGCAAGACTCCGTCGGTACCTGCCCTACGGGGTTACCGAGATCAGCTGCTCACACGCTTGAACCAACGGTTCTCAAAGATGTACAGTGTTAAGGTAGGTCCTGTGGGAAAACAAGCGCTTTCAAATCCAGTTTTGCCCTTGGAGAGCCTCACACCTCCCAACTTCATAGGGACTCACACATCACGCACGTCTACGCAATGTGTAGGTCCAGCGTTGCAGAACGAAGCGAAGCCGATATTTGGGCTGTAAAACTATTTGGAAATGGCACACTGTTTTATTTTGATATGTTGTAACACTTCAATCACACACAGGCGGCACGTGTTAGTTTTGTATTTGACAACAACGACATCTGTTGGAAACTATTAAAAAAGCGTCCCTTTAGTTTATTGTGAGATACGAGCACAGGCGTAGCAGAATGATAACTCCGGTAAAGGGACTTTTGTTTATATTTACTACTTGCAGCGTTTCATTTATTAAAGGTGCAGGTTATAAAAATATATAAATATAAAAATTGTACTTTTGCAATTAAAATAAAAAATAAATTTGACAACTGTTAATATGAATTGTAATTGTACTGTACTGTTGGCCTCTTACAGTATTGCGGGCATTAATCTTCACTTTCAACCTATAACGCAGTGGGTGAGCAGGACTCTTTCAGACTGAATCTGCTGCGTCAGACTTTGATATCTTCGGGTCACTAATGTTTTACGCAGCAAAAATGCCGCAAAAAAATGTACCTGGCTGTGTTTCTGTCACGACACTGGAATCGGTCGATGGTTTATTAAAAAGCTAAACAAACTTCTCCCTCGCAGAGAGCTACTCGCCGGCTCTGAAGGCTGGTAACCACTGAGACGTTCGAGTCGTTTCTATGTTAGGATAAAAAAAAGGAAGATTAACTTCCCGTATTGCCCTGTCAGAAAAAAAAGATCCGAGTCAGTGTTCCTTTGAGAACTTAAATATGAAAGTCTCTTGTGTACGACCCCCATGCCTTACATCGTTAGAAGCATTTTTAGATACTTCAGCCACCGGGTCAATACAGTACCTCCACGTTAACATTCAGGCAGATCCGTGGATGTCTAAGTCAGCAGCCGGGGTCCTTCCGGCTGGTGACGTGTAAAGTATGCCCATCTTCCACGGGGAAAGAGAAACTCAGGGGTCTGGGGGAAATTTTAATCTTATTGCTTCCTAGTATAATTTAACGGTTTTCGACTGGTGTCGCTACGATATTGTGCATTCGTCCAGTGGGACCGTGAAAGAAAATGGAGTCGCTTTATCATCAGACAAATAAGTAAGTGTTTCACAACGTAGCTGCTGCTGTGTGTTAATATAATTCACTGTATTAGAAGTTGTAACGAATACATGTTAAATAAACGTCCGTCTTGCTCTACGATGCCCATTGCAATAGTTTGTATTCCTACTAAATATGGAACAATACCCAGATCCTGACATTTGACTTCTTTAAACATTTTCTGTGTTGCTTAATGTCCGTGCAGTATTAATTAATAATTATAATTATAACTTCCCGTTTGTCTCTTTCGACGAGTTAAAACTCTTTCGTAGAATATCGAGAAGAACAGTTATGAGAAAATGTGAGATCGGAAATGTATGAACTGAATGATTTAGCTGACATCTGTTTTCCGAATCACTCGGCCAAGTTCCGTGGAAATGCTTATCACTGAGTCAGCAGCGATTACACAACTATGAACGTGTCCAGATCAATGGAACAATATATTGTTTCACTTAGATGAAAAAAATGTACCCACTTAATAATAAGTAAGATATTGATTGATTAAGGTATTGTTTTGGCGCAGAAAAGCTTAACATACACGCGCATATGCACAGCATTCTCAAGAGAGTGCTTTGGTACGTTCGTTTTTAATAAGGAAAACGTGCCTTATTTATTACCTGTGCATCCGAAATAGGGAACACCGATGATAAATCGGTGTGTTAGTGAATTAATTAAGGAAACAATCAACTGATCGTAGCTGGGATGTTTAGCTTTAAGGTGTGCTTGACTGGAATAAGTCCCTGCCCACACTCGAGGAAGGGCTGGAAAGCGTTGCCCGTTAGTTCTGTCTTGCAGTGACACCTGCTAAATGCAAACATACAGTAAGGTGTGAAATAAAGGTTTGGGATGTTGCAATCCAGCAGACCACCTAGTGCTGTTCTGGGGGCTGTGGCTAATTTGTTTCTCACCTTTCGACTTATAACGAGTTATGACTTATGACTTATGACTTATGACTTATGACTTTCGGTTTCTGTTTTCCCGGACAGACAGATCCAGGAGGTTCAGAGCAGCATGGGGCGACTGGAGACGGTGGATCGTCAGTCCGTTCACTGTGAGTCTGACAGCGGAGCCAGTGTCCACCGCCTCCAAATCCCAGCAGAGTGCTTCCACTTCTGTCTTCCTCACCGTCTGCACATCAGGCAGATCTGATCTGATCTTTAGCCCGTTAAACTCAAATTTTTTGTCCATGTTTAGTGCTGCCCCAGAAGGGTTATACCCAAAGCCAGCTGAGTGCCAGGCTTTTAAAGGAGGTGTTTGTCAAGCTGACTAGTCTAGCTGGCTCAGACCGGCTGTGAAAGAGCATCAGCATTAACTGGATAGCAACACGTGTGTGGAGATGATCAGATGACAGGGGAACAGATGAAGCCGATCAGAACAAAACTGATATCTTAATTGTAAGAGGTCTGAGTTTCTAATGTAAAAACAAATGCACAAACTAGAATCCCATTAAAATCAAACAAAAACAACAACAGCAGTAAATGAGATTACCATCACTTCCAAAGCACAGATGATTCGGTTTCAATCTCTAGTTTTTGGATCAGGACACTGGCTGTACAAAATGCTGTGTCTAACTGTATGTAGCTACAACTCTTTATTTTTCCACATCAAACATTTAATGTCTAATATGCACAGAGACTCTGTGACTGAAATTCTCAATTAACTGGGAACTAAAGATGCACTCTTAAAAGTAGTGTTTAAAATAAAACCAGGAGTTTTAACATTACCGTGTGTGATTAAGGACAACACAGTCTGTGTACTTTTTACAGCAAGCCAGAATATTGGGGGAAATGGTGCCCACACAGACTATGCTGACCTAAAATGTGTCTTTGAACTCTATCTTTCGCCACAAATTCTGTAAGTGAATCATTACGTGGTACCTTAGACAGCAGGTTCCCCAGGGCCAGGATAGACAGAGTGTCAGGTTTCATCCAGTCCAGGTTTTCTTTCCACAACACGGCAAGTCTGCCTTTGTGATCCTGTTTAGAAGACACTTTTGTTCCCATACAGCCATTCAGATACTGACATTACAATGCTGCCTCCCTGTCTTTACGAGAAACTACAGCCTACTGGGTATGAAAGTGACATTTTCATGCTGACAGTTGACCGTTCTGAAAAGGTGGAATTTGATATAGGAAGATTTCTAAATTTATTAACTGATGATGTAATGATTGGACAGCATCTCAACACTATTTTTTTTTTCCCACCATTTTCTGCCGTTTCCAGAAGTCTAGACTCTGTACTATTAATAATCAGGGACGGCCCTGAGAAAGGGACTGTCCTGGCGGGGCCGTGTTTCTGGGTGCTGCCCAGTGCTTTCCTCTCTCAGCTGCCCACTCTCCAGATTGTTTTCCGTGGTGGGCGGCGTGTGCCGAGCCAGGCTGGTGCCAGTGCAGGAAGTGGGAGGAGAGGGGGAGAAGCAGGCCGAGATAAAGACTCTGCGCTCTGGCTGCTGGTCAGCATCTGAAGACCTGAGCCTCAAAAAGAACTGCAGCTCACTAGGCTGCTTCAGAGCCTGGAGATCTGGGCAGTTGGGAACTGTTGTGAATATCCTACATATTAAGATAAGATTAGATCACTTTATTAGCCATATACAATTTCTTGCATTAGGAATTCATCTTTTCGCAGCCTGCTCTCCATGAGACACAGACACACAGACACACAGACAGGGAGAGAGCCTGGGGTCAGAGCGCAGGGTCAGCCATTGTACAGCGCCCCTGGAGCCGTTGGGGTTAAGGGCCTTGCTCAGGGGCCCAACGGAGTAGGATTCCTCTGCCGGCTGCGGGATACGAACCGGTAACCTTCCAGTCACAGGCGCAGATCCTTAACCACAGTGCCACCGCTCCGCCCCATATCATGTATTCATGTATATGAACGCCTGTTTTATCCAAAGCTATTTACATAACTCCTTTACACAACCAGGTATTGTACCGATACAACATGAGTGAAGTTGGTTCAAAGGCTGTGTCTTCTGTGGGATTTGAACCCACAACCTTCCAGGCAGAATATCAGAGCCTGAACCTCTGCTCCACCCTGCTGGCTGATTTCCCCATTTCTCCCAGGAACTCAGTGCAATCCTGGATCATGCCCATTCCCAGATATTTCCTCATTATTAGAAGGGAAAAGAAAGACTAGGGATATGCATCAAGGAGTTAAAAATAATGGAATTTAATGCCAGAAACCTGCTTACAAACCCTCTATGATAGGATAGTAGAGAGGGCAGTGATTTAGTATTGTATACAGAGATGCCTGTAGTTGATTCTTCTAGTCAGACATTTTTCTGAAACTGCACTCATGGATGAATGCATACCCATGGACAACAGCACTGTGTGCCAAAGGCCACTGACGGTACTACTGCCCAACGAGGGGGCACGCAGGAGCTTCACCAGCACACGTGCCTGCTGGGGTGGTCCCTCAGCACGCAGCTGCTGTGCCCCTGTAAGGGAAGATGCAGACAAACAGCGTGTGGAGCTCGTGGAGGGCTCCTGTCTTCACCCCCCTCTCTCTCCGCAGTGGTGGAGAACGAGCTGCAGGCGCGAATCGACCAGATCTTCAGCAGCCTGGAGAGGCTGGAGATCCTGGCGGGCAAGGAGACGCCCAGCCGGCGCCAGAACGCCAAACTGTGAGTCCCAGCCGGCCCCTTCCCAGATCTCCTGTTCACCACACCTCCGGGCTACAGGCTTCCTCTCACACAATACCTGCACTGATGTAGCGGGTTTCCCCATCCTAAAGCCCTTCACATATGAGGGAGCCCATTTCACCCACCCACCCACCTGGGCTGGGGGGCAGGCCAGCAGCCTCTTTACAAGAACCCCACACACATCTAGTCTTTAGTGGGACTTTGTGATGTGGCAATTGTTCATGTGCACACAATCACCTAACAAAAGCCAGAAAGTAACCTGAAGGCCATGTGCCTGTCCTGTGGAACTGGGTTGCCATGTTGGAAGATGCCATGGCAGGTTCTGGTGTTGTGTGCTCTTTAGGTGAACTCTGCAGCCCCGCCAGGCTCCAGCCGTTTGAAGTGACCCCTCTGTCTCTCCCCCCTCCCCCCCCGTCCAGACGAGTGGACCAGCTGAAGTACGACGTCCAGCACCTGCAGTCGGCCCTGCGCAACTTCCAGCACCGCCGCTACACCCGCGAGGCCCAGGAGCGAGAGAGGGAGGAGCTGCTGACCCGGTCCTTCACCACCAACGTCAGTACCGCGGCCGCACCAGACCCGAACACACAGATGTTTCCCCGCCTCACGGGAGTGAAGCACCAGAGCCGTGCAGACGGGGAGAGCTGGCTTTCAGATCCTGCCCAGAACGCAGAGCAGAGGCAGTAGTCTCTTTAAAAACAAGTCCAGCAGCCACAGAGAAATGCAGTGATGTATTGATGATGTCGTGTATTGACGATCAGTTCTGTCAGGAATCAACCAGCCTTGCTATCAATGGTTGTGGGGATGTGGAACCATCTGGTTGAAGCCGATTCTCTGGCTTCTTTCAAGAACTAGCTGGATGAGTGAACTTGAGTAATCAAACTAGCCAGGTGGGCTGCAGGACCTGCTCGTATTTAACTTAATGCTATGTGGTACCTGGGCTAGACACCTGCTATTTGCCTTTTGCAGACGGGACTAAGATTTAACTTTTTATCAACTGTCTGCAAACCTTTCACATGTTGAGCCTCGGTGCGTCACTCCACACTTCGGCAGGCTACACAGATTGAAGCTGCTGTACTCGGCAGAACGCTTCAGAGGCCTCGACTGGCTACATGATTGTAGCGGGCGAGGCCGGGACAGTGGAACGGCAAACGTGAGAAAGCCTTTACCTGGCACAGTGCAGCAGGCGGAGAAGCGGCCGAGGCAGCTGGGCAGTCGCTGACCCTGCGGTGTGATCCCTCCCTCCCTCCCTGCAGGACGCCGACACCTCCATCCCCATAGATGAGACCCTGCAGTTCAGCTCCTCCCTGAACAGCGCCCACCGAGGAATGGACGAGCTGCTGAACAGCGGGAGCAGCATCCTGGACAACCTGCGGAACCAGAGGGGCACGCTCAAGGTGGGCCTCGCACACACACATTCGTCCCAGCATGCCCAGCACAGAGCTGGTCGTAGTGGCAGGGGGGGGCTGACCCGGGCTCCTGAACTGTACGCGCCACACTAACAAAAACAAAATAGAGGAGCCCGCATTGTTGTAGGGAGCAGAGGCTGTTGGGGCTCAGTTCTCAGCCATGACACGCTTAGGGTTCAGTGTTCCATATTCACATAAATTACCAGCATCTCATCCAAAATTGAATTAGTATCAACGTGAGACGTGAAGGCAGGGGCGAGGGCTCCACTCTGTTATTTAGAATAAATGGGGAAAGTGTCCCTCACAGTGGATGATGTTAAAAAAAATAGTTCCTTTCAGTAATTTCCACATTCCACACTCTGTAGCTTTGAAACAATCAGACCTAAAACTTTTACCCAAATCTGTTACAACAGAACAAAAAGGATATTCAGGGAAAGTCAGATATCTATCAAACAGGTTTATTAGAAATTTTGGGCAGAAACCCTAAATGGGTGCAAAATAACAACTCTTAATGAAACATCTCTTCAAAGTTTCCATTCAGCAGAAGAACACGTTTTCCTCTCTTTTGTAGCAGGAACTAGAGAAACCGTACCTGTCAGTCCATTCGAAGTCCAGAGTGTTTCCTGCGCTCATGATCCATGGAGAGTAGCAATCCCAGAGCCCAGATAAGAGAGGAGCAGTGTGTAATCCGGAGTTCTGTCTGGAACAAAAACTCCAACAATTTCTTCCACAGTCATTCCTTTAGCTGATGTCAAGAATGTGAGGAGCAGAAAGTTTTATTAGTCCTCCACATATGGTCTACCCCCGGGAAACAAAAGACAAGCCCTTGTGTAGCTGCACTGGCACCAGGGAGACTTAACAGCTGTCAACAGTGCTCTTTGAGAAGCTATTGTTCATTGTTGCTGCCTAAATCGGGGACCATTTGTTTGGGAGGTCGATACAACACCAATGAAGAGAGATGGTATTTGTGCCATGATTATTATATTACTGTATTCCGCGGGCGGTAGTGGTTCCAATTTGTCCATTTGTCCAGGGGTTTCTTAGCTTAGTGCATAACCGAGCTGTGCAGCACATTATTGTGAGTATCAAGGAAATGAAATGACTAAATGGTTCTCTTGGCCCTGAAACCCTGTAGGGGACTCTGGAGGAAGGGCCACGGCGATCGTGCACCCCGGCCCGGGGCCGTTCGCCGGTGGCATCGGGGGTTTGTGGATGCCGCTGTGGCACGGCGTGTGTTAACAGGCTGGGAGCTGACGGCATGTTTCCAGGGAGAGCCCTCTTCCTGAGCCGCTCCTGGGCTCCGGTTATCTGGGTGTGTCCCTTCTGGGGTGCGGTTGTTTGACTCCAGACTGTCCTGGCCATGAGAAACTTGTGGAAAAGGAGAAAGAGGGCAGAAGTAAGAGATAAAGCAGCGGGATCCTCTGGGGGGGGTTCGGACCGAGCGCGCACAAGGTGCATCTGACAGGGCCAGAGCAGGGGACGCACAGAGCCGCTCATTCTCCCCAGACCAGATCCACACGCTGAGCCCCCCCTGCGCAGGCAAGAGCACACAGAGTTTGGTCCTTTGTGTCTGCCACTCTGGGGACAAAAGAGTGCAAAACAAATAGGAAAATGTGGTAGAGACAGTAAATATAAGACAAATAGATTCAAGGAATAGCGACAATTAGGGGTGTGTGAAAAGCAGACAATCTGGTGTCCCATCAAGTAATAACTCGATGAGATTATCGAGTCAATTAGCTGCTGGCAGCTCAGCAAGATAGACGGAGCGGGTGGTTTCCTCTAGTTTATAACTTCTGTTTTAATCTCTGTCCCCCCACCAGGGCACCCATAAGAAGATTCTGGATGTGGTGAACATGCTGGGGCTGTCCAACACTGTGATGAGGCTGATCGAGAAGAGGGCTTTCCAGGACAAGTTCATCATGATGGGGGGCATGCTGGTCACATGTGTGGTCATGTTCCTGGTGGTGAAATACCTGAGCTGAGGTCTGCCCTCCTCTGCCCGTCCTCCCACTCACTGCCATCTCAAGGACAGCCCCGACAAACACACTCCTCGTCTACCTGGGGGACACTCAAGGAAAAAAAAAAAAAGTGGATCACATACAATGGCCTCGATGGACGAAACTTTCTCATCTCTTTTTCTCCATGTTTTCCTCCATTGTCTCTGAGCCGATCTTCTAAAACAGATGCGTTGTAGAACAGCTGAGAGGGAAGGAGGAGGGACCCGTGACCAATTGCTCAGTATTGTGTTCAGAAAAGCAGTCGCACAGCCAGCTTGGCCACAGCTCTCCTGCTGCAGGAGTGGGCAGAAGAGCCTGGGCTTGCAGCTTAACGAGTAAGTGTTAAGTGCTAATGGGAGAGGAATCGCCAGAATCTTGTAATTACATTGTACATATCCACTGTCTGTCCTGGCTCCCTTCTCCCCTGGGGTTCCTCTCCTGTCGGAATTCAGAGGCCGATACGGTGAGAGCAGCAGGGCCTTTGCAACATGTGGAACAGTGAAGCTGAACTGAAGCCAGCAGGAGAATCGGGCTCATTGGTGCCTCCTGTTGACCGACCTCATCCATCTGTTCGCGGACCTCACCTGTCCTAGAGGGAGGTATCGCGATATTTCCACTTTCTCCATTGTTCCACATTTCTTGCGTACCTGTGCGCTCTGTATGATTCTGCCATTTCAACTACTGTTGAATAATGTAAGGAAAAGACTTCTCAGAGCTCGCGGTCATAAATTGTATGGTGGTCGAGCAATGTAGATTTAGAGGGAGTCCACAATTAACAATTAACAATTTATAGGACAGAAGAAACTTGCGTTTAAATAAATCAAATGTTAAGTGAACTGTATGATTTGTTTTCGCTGTTCTGCATGATCTCATTACTTCGATCCTAAAAATGGTTAAAATTATTTTCAGAATTTGCCTTCTAAAAATGAGGATGAGCCACACAGCACCGATTGAACTGAGGCTTCATGCACAGGCAGAACAGCGCTTTGACCAGCGCGGCCTAGTCTGTGAACTAGTTCCTTTAATTACTTCTGTTTGGAGCTGTAATGAGATCAGTGCTTCCAGGTTTTGGCACATAATTGAAAAGTGAAATTAAAGAAACTGCATATCTGTGAGGCATCTTCATTTTTGGTGGAAGACCCTGGGGTCTCAGTGCAAGGAAAACATTCACTGCATGTTGAACCAACGCATCCCTGCTTCTCAGAAAAGAAAATGAAATATTGGAATTTAATAAAACGCATAAGTAGTTTAATACAAGTACAAGATGAAAAAGGCTGAGGAATGCCAGTCATGATACCCTGTGGCGAGCTGTATTAATAAAGCGGCTCGCTGCTGCACTGCAGGCGGTTACAGCCATGGCAGTGTCTTTCAGGAATTCGTGGTGGGAAGGATGTGCACGCACTCGCCGTCTCTCCCTGATTTCCTTTACGGTGGAGAAAGTTCCGACCCGCGTGGAGGCGAACAGAAGCCGGCAGCCAGAAGGAAACGAGAGATCGGGCAGAGTCAGGCCGCTGGCTGCGCTGCTGCTCTGGGGGCGAGTGGATGTGCAGTCCTTCCCACTACAAACTCCTCAGGGCTTGTTTTTTCACTCTTCATTTTTTTTGTGGAATCCATCCATTTCCTGACCTCTGTAGCCAGCTTGGTGTCACATGGAGTCTATCCCAGCAAACAGTGGGCACAAGGTGGGCTACACCCAGGGCAGGACAACAATCCATCAGACAGACACCTACACTTTTCCCAGAAGCCAGTTCACCTACAAGTATGCAAGTTGGGGCACCCAGAAGAAACCCACACGTACAAACCGACATCTTTTTGTATAACAAAGTCTCATAAATGCTACCATTCATATTCATACGTGCCTTGTCCATGATTTTCCGTATTCAGCGTTGTCTGCTATTTACTGTACTAAAATGCCAGGACTCCTCTTACTGGTTATGGATGTAGTGACTGGAGCTGCCGACCCCATGGAAACATCAACTATTGGTACAGAGAATGTCTCCCTCAATTGTGTGCAGAAGTCATCCTTAAGGCATGTAAAATCGCACCAGAACCAACAGTGGTGGTTTGAAAATAATTCATTTGCAATGGGTTTCAACACCGTGCATTGTAACAGAATGGTTAATATCTTCTACTGGGATGCATTTGTACTTGCACTTGACCTCGGTGGCTGTTCCAGTTTTAAACTGTTAACTCCAGACTGGCAGGAAAACCAGTATAAAGGTGTGAATTCACCCCCCCACCTCCCATAGGAGCAGACATCTTACCGGATATCAGGTGCAAGTCCATGTGTCGCTGGCTCCCCCCTCCGCGCAGCTCTTCAGACCCCCAGGGGTTTCCTCTCCGGGGCCTCTTCTGTCAGAGCTGCCAGCAACACCTCCCCCCCAGAGACTAAAGCTGGGAGAGACCGAGCCCTTGCAGGACAGGAACGTGCCGGTTTGCGGAACCCCGACTCGTCAAGATGAAAGACGGAACACTCATGTCTCCCGGTACAGGCTGGGGGGGGTCAGCCATCCAGGAGCTGTGTGAAGCTGAACCCCAGAATAATAGATCACTGTAGATCCACCCTGATAAAGAGTACCCAAATAGATCAGACCAAGTGCCGAACCTGTATTCTGACCACCGACTGAAAAATACCTGAAGAAGGCTCAACAGCTGAGATGTTGCACCTCACCTTTATTTTTTCAGTATGGAATTAGCCTTTACGTGTTCCTTTGAAGGCAACGAACGCAGACACGGCTTCCCACTTGAACACAACCTGACCACCCAAGTGTTCCTAAAGGGAAAAAATCGCTCGGAACTCACAGCAGCAATCCACTGCAATCCACCCATGGAGCGGATTACGGGCTTCAAATGAAAGGCAGGTCGTACAGACTCTGGGGTCAGCATCCCATCATTGTCAAACACACACTGGTGCTCAAAGTTACCTCTAAAAGCATCAAATCGCATCAACATACAAAAAATAACCCCAAAGTTTCACAAATCTTTTTATTATAAAGATTTTTTTTACAGCAACATTACTGCCTGTTTTATGTGACAAAGTTAAATAAAACAAGGTAGGTTATCCACTGCCATCATTGTTAGAATACTCTTTCCACTGTACAGGATATAGTTACAGAAAGCAGTTAAACCACAATTGCATGGGTGCATTAAGCGGGTCCTCCTGACGGCAGGCCATGAACAGCGCTGTTATTCATGGGGAATCAACACCACATCACACAAACAAGAGATCTCCACCTCCGTAGTTCACAGCAGGTTGCTTCTGAGCTCCAGCGTCAGCTTCCGAATAACCACTAATGTTGAATCTTCTCTCTTTCTTCTCACGGTACACATTCCATTTTCCAAAGGACTGTACTCATCGTTAAACCGGAAAATGAGATCTAAATGTCCGTTATTGGGCCAAACACACCTAGTTTCAAAAACCCATTTTGTTCACATAGCTCACAGATGCCCCTTGGTGTCCACAGGCGGTACTGCCAGCCTTTTGTTAAAGTTAACCAGTGTACTAAGGCCACTCTTCATAATAAATTATAATAGTGAAGTCAAAAATGTGCAGTTAGATCCTGTATAGGAAAATCCTATGTTCATTACCCTCACTTTGTTTCATTATTAATAAAATCCTTTTTAGAAGTAGTGTGAGACAGCAAAGCAAATCCACATCGCTACAACAGTTTAAAAAAAGTTAATCAAATGTGGGTCAACACTTGTTTAAGAGTCATAAAATCTATCGGTGGTCACTGAAACAATATGTGGAGTCCTATGGTATTACAATTTAGTACTTCAGGCAGCTTGAGCATTTTTCCGAGAAGTGTAACCTTACTGTTTTATTTTCAAGCCCTCCTTGAGGTGAACAATAGTTGTTGTACTGTATTAACTCACAAGCATTTACCCCTAAATCGGCAAGAACGGCTTCATGCCCTGGGTTCTGCGCGCAGATCTCTTTGCCCCGCTGTCGTCCCCCTCCGGCTCCGGGGCAGCGGTCAGGGCAGTGCTGTGGCGAGGGAAGCTGGCGCAGGTCTGTGGACGCAGGCGTGGTTGAAGAAGGCACGATGCTTTGGGCGGGCTCCCAGGCAGCTGGGGTGCCAGAACAGGCTGCAATACACTTCACTGCCAATGCACCACAAGTCAAGGAAGAGGGGAAACCAGACACCACACAAGTGTTTTACTGGGGACACCTCATACGCAAAAACAGCCCACTTCTGATTTTCACAATACGGCAGAAAAAAAATACAAGGGTTTTGATAAAACATACATGCTTGAAGATTTTTGCACTGCCTGGGGTTGAATAGGAACTACTACAAACCCTAAAGCCTTACAGGTTGTTGTTTTAACGGCTGCAACCCTATTTACACTCTTGTAGGTTACAGAGATGGGGGGGGGAATGTCACTTGCCCCACCAAGCAAGGGTGATTTTACAAAAAACAGCATAAAAAAATTAAATTATTGCAGTATACTACAATCATATAATCATATGTGCTACAAAAGCAGCATTTCCATGTATGTAGTTCAGTGCAATTCTTCGGGGTGTTAAATAATGACTGGGCTGGAGCCTTGATCACATGTGTCTTTACAGCTGTACAATGTATAAAGGTTGATGGTTAAGGTCATCCCATTGCATACCTACTAGTACTCGGTTTGCTATAGAAACTACAGCCCCAATAGACTTTGCATCGTTTTACAGATTCAAACAATCTAATGAGCTTGGTACATCTACTATAAAACAGGATTAGAAAAAAATAAATCACTTTTCTCCAAATTTGAACTCATTGTTTAACCTCAGAGATCCAGTTCTAGCAGTTCACGATCCCTGGCTGCCTACCCCAGATGCCCAATTCTGCATGGACCAGTTAAAAAGGGAACAGCTGGTGTTTCTGTCCTACCACAGCATAACAACAGGGGGAGGGGGGGGTCTCTACACTTAATGACTGATGTGAGATAATTAGCTTATTAGTTTGCCATCACACAACATTTAATTTCTTCTGGGAGTCTTGAATAATGTGAACATCTAAAAAACAATCTTACAAAAAAGAAATCGAACCATGAAGGAGACAATTAACCTGAAGTGAGACTTCTGTAATAGCAGTTTGACAAATTTAGCTGCACAACGCTGGGAGATGTCAGGAACATGAACTCATTTACAGCAAGCCTCCGTTTCCTCAAAGTGCGTCTTTCTTCAGGAGCAGTTCCCTAGCGACTTCCCTAGCTTTAGAGGCAAGGGGCCAATCCTACAGTCTAGGAGTCACCTCCCCATTTAAGAAGACAAAGCAGATCCAGCTTATGGCTTCAGCCATCTTATCTTTGGCTGTAGAAAACAAAAAGTAATAAAAAAAAAATACTCCAGTGGTTTTCCTGGCTCCCCATGCAATGCGTTAGCAAGTACACCCCAACAGTTTCCTTGCCATTGACCCCTGACATCCCTGGGTTCAGGCCCTGCCCAGACATTATGAAGAGACCAGGGGGCTCAGAGACTAGGTTCAAGAAAACCCACCAAAATTCAGATACACGTAAAATGCCCCAGTCTTTCAATCTGTTATACCAGGACGCTCTGATCTGTATACCCCAGCCAGCGAAGGCACCAGGCAACGGCTGGTGATTCCTCCCCAGCCTATCCCTCCAGATTCAATAAAAAAATCCCCACTCACTGCAGATAAGTTTTTTTTTCCTCTCCCACCTACACGTCTCCCGGCTTCGAATCCTCCAAGCAGTGTCCCAAAACGTCCTGCAGGCATCAGGGTGCCTGACGGAGGAGAGGCAGGCTGCGCCCGTCACGAGGTGTCAAGAGCAGCAGGACAGGGGAGAGGCGGGGGGTCTCGAGGCGCGGGCGGCCGCGCCGCGCGTCAGGCACCTGTGCCGCGGGCCAGTCTCAGGAGCCGTGGCTGGGGGGGTGCTGGAGGTCCTGCCCTGAGAAGATGGGGTGCAGGAGGGGGTGCAGGTGCAGGGCGGCGGCGGCGGCGGCGGCGGAGGGCCGCGGGGCGAAGAGTGTGGGGTACAGGGCGGTGTGCGGCACGTGGTGCAGGGCCAGCGGGGTGTGGTGGATGGCGGAGGCGGGGATGATGTGGATGGGGTGGCTGGAGAGGAAGGCGGCGTGGTGCGCGGGGATGAGCGAGTGGCCCAGCGGGGAGAGGGAGATGGGGGTGAGGTGGTGCTGGGGGATGTGGTGCACCTGGGCCAGCTGCTGCGGGTGGGGGTGGTGGGGGTGCGGGTGGATGCCGATGGCCGCCGCCGTGGCCGCGTGGTG